ATTATAAATAGTGATATGACAGTTATGTATTATTATAAATAGTGATATGACAGTTATGTATTGTTAAATATTCTGATATGACAGTTATGTATTGTTATAAATACTTATATGACAGTTATGTATTGTTAAATATTCTGATATGACAGTTATGTATTATTATAAATATTGATACAACAGTTATGTATTCTTGTAAATAGTGATATGACAGTTATGTATAATTATAAATAGTGATATGACAGTTATGTATTATTATAAATACTGATATGACAGTTATGTATTCTTATAAATAGTGATATGACAGTTATGTATTCTTATAAATACTGATGGTATGACAGTTATGTATTCCTATAAATAGTGAAATGACAGTTATGTATTCTTATAAATACTGATATGAAAGTTATGTATTCTTATAAATACTGCTGGTATGACAGTTATGTATTCTTATAAATACTGATATGAAAGTTATGTATTCTTATAAATACTGCTGGTATGACAGTTATATATGTTAACTCGTATTATCCAGACTTAGATATCGTAAAAAAAAGATGGTAGTGGCTTTGTGTTAAATGTGTTACGTTTTCTTCAGATTTTTGACCCTGTGTTAAATGTGTTATGTTTTCTTCAGATTTTTGACCCTGTGTTAAATGTGTTACTTTTTCTTCAGATTTTTGACCCTGTGTTAAATGTGTTACGTTTTCTTCAGATTTTGACCCATCTGATAACATGTCTATCACGTGGGTAGGCGGAAAACCACCCTTGGATGTACCTCCCTGCGGCTATGATGGCAGTGAGTGTAGACCACCCCCAGGTAGGAAACATGAACTACTTTAATTAATGTTACTCCTGTATTGTCTTGGAGATGATTGTTATCCAGGTTTTCTTCTCATGTCTTGTGGAACAACATTCTTTTGTAAAGAACTCTGCATCAGTTGATATAGGTTAGATTAAGTATTATTATATAAAGTAAAAAGGATCATTTTGCCAGTAATCACATTGAAATATCGGTATTTGAATATATCTTTCTGTAACAGCCATTATCTGAAATAAGCATGTTTCTGAAGTTGTTATCATCCTATGTAGCTAGATTACAAATTCAAATAGTGTTAATTGGATAAAATTATGAAGCAAAGTTTAATTATCAGTCGTACGCACGCCTGTGCAGGTCTGGAAAATCTGGAATTTTGCCTGAAGAATTAATATGGCCACTTTGCAAATACAGAAATAGCTAGACACTTACCATATTTTTAGTTCATGATTTTATCACCAGGTAACAGGAGTTTTTTATTTTCAAGACTGTAGATCAGCTGTTTGTACCTATTTTAGCATCATCCACTGACTTTTATCACTTTTCAGAAATGACCAGGAAAATAGTAGCCGCTGTTCTGGCTGTTCTTCTTGCAGTCGTTATCGTTGTAACGAGAATTACGTACAGGTATGTATATAGTCGGTGTTAGAGTGTGGGTTTTACAGGGAGTTGATCGTACTTTATTAATACGTTATAATGCGGTTGCCACGTTTGGGAGTCGTGATGCCACTGTCAAAAATGCGATGCTGCCATGAATAGATTTATGAGAACAGGTGGTCCCAGCCCCTTTTCAAAGAAGGATGTTCATATAGATACTTTATTGAAAATGGACATAAAACTCGTTATGACTGGAACAGGTTCTAAAAACATGCCCCCAGTTAATTCGCAGTAATGCCCTTGTCATAAAGCTGGTTCCAAAACTACGCCCAAGATTAATCCAGAACCACGCTCTTGTTATGGAACTGGTTCTGAAATTATGCCTGAAATTAACCCAGAGCAACACGTTTGTTATGAAGCTGGGCATATCTCATGGTAACATTTACAAGATAGTAAAACAAGCATTTGAAGATTAACACTCATAAACTTCTGCTCACTCTTCAAAACCAGTAGTTATTTTCATGAGAAAGATGTTCAAAAAAACTAGATTCACAACAATTAATATTATATTAATAATATAACAGTGGAGACGACTGTTATATTATAACGTATTTAACGTATTTTTATAATGAATCAAAGAAAGTTTTTTTAACCATTGACATCACAAATTATTCATATAATAAAAATATATGAAAGATGATGAATATTCACATAAGCATAACAGTAAGTTTACTGAAGTCAGGTGATAGAACATAGTGTTAGCTAAATGTAACAGTAAGTTTACTAAGTCAGGTTATAGAACATAGTGTTAGCTAAACGTAACAGTAAGTTTACTAAGTCAGGTGATAGAACATAGTGTTAGCTAAACGTAACAGTAAGTTTACTGAAGTCAGGTGATAGAACATAGTGTTAGCTAAATGTAACAGTAAGTTTACTAAGTCAGGTTATAGAACATAGTGTTAGCTAAACGTAACAGTAAGTTTACTGAAGTCAGGTGATAGAACATAGTGTTAGCTAAACGTAACAGTAAGTTTACTAAGTCGGGTGATAGAACATAGTGTTAGCTAAACGTAACAGTAAGTTTACTGAAGTCAGGTGATAGAACATAGTGTTAGCTAAACGTAACAGTAAGTTTACTGAAGTCAGGTTATAAAACATAGTGTTAGCTAAACGTAACAGTAAGTTTACTGAAGTCAGGTTATAAAACATAGTGTTAGCTAAATGTAACAGTAAGTTTACTGAAGTCAGGTGATAGAACATAGTGTTAGCTAAATGTAACAGTAAGTTTACTGAAGTCAGGTGATAGAATGTAGTGTTAGCTAAACATAACAGTAAGTTTACTAAGTCAGGTGATAGAACATAGTGTTAGCTAAACGTAACAGTAAGTTTACTGAAGTCAGGTGATAGAACATAGTGTTAGCTAAACGTAACAGTAAGTTTACTGAAGTCAGGTTATAAAACATAGTGTTAGCTAAACGTAACAGTAAGTTTACTGAAGTCAGGTGATAGAATGTAGTGTTAGCTAAACGTAACAGTAAGTCTACTGAAGTCAGAAAGTCAAACTAAGCATATCCAAGAGTATAAAAACGTTTCATATTCATACGTATGATATTCATGATCATAATTTTTTTATTTAGGAACTGGGTTTATGAGCAGCAGATAGCTGGCCTTTTGTGGAAAATTGACCCCCGTGATCTACGGAAATATGGTTTTAATGAATTTGTTCTATCCAATAGCAGAGTAAGTCAACACAGACAGATGATGTAAAATGAAATAAAAGTTAAACATTTAAAATATTTTTGAGTTAAACAGATAAACCTGATATATGGGAGTAGGATGAACTAAACAGGTAAACCTGAACTGTAACAAAGGATCAGTTAAACAGATAAACCTGAACTGTGACAAAGGATCAGTTAAACAGATAAACCTGAACTGTAACAAAGGATCAGTTAAACAGGTAAACCTGAACTGTAACAAAGGATCAGTTAAACAGATAAACCTGAACTGTAACAAAGGATCAGTTAAACAGGTAAACCTGAACTGTAACAAAGGATCAGATAAACAGATAAACCTGAACTGTAACAAAGGATCAGTTAAACAGATAAACCTGAACTGTGACAAAGGATTAGTTAAACAGATAAACCTGAACTGTTACAAAGGATCAGTTAAACAGGTTAACCTGAACTGTAACAAAGGATCAGTTAAACAGGTTAACCTGAACTGTAACAAAGGATCAGTTAAACAGGTTAACCTGAACTGTAACAAAGGATCAGTTAAATAGGTTAACCTGAACTGTAACAAAGGATCAGTTAAACAGATTAACCTGAACTGTGAGAAAGGATTAGTTAAACAGGTAAACCTGATCTGTGACAAAGGATCAGTTAAACAGGTAAACCTGAACTGTAACAAAGGATCAGTTAAACAGTATAACCTGAACTGTAGAACAAAGGATCAGTTAAACAGGTTAACCTGAACTGTAACAAGGATCAGTTAAACAGGTTAACCTAGAACTGTAGAGTAAG